AAACTGGGACCGAACCAAAATGTGACTATAAGTCAATGTGACTGTATAGGAGGTGACTGTAGGGGAGGTCGACTGTAGTACGTAACAGTAAGAAAAATATAACGTGATAATAGCCAGTGATTTCAAATTTCCTAATTTGGATTCTGAATTTTCATTACATTCGATTAGTCATGGTAAGAGTAAGGTATTGGGTGAGAAAACAAACTTATATGTAAAATTGCCCCAGGTTTCTCGTAATATCAAATAGCATAGATAAACAAATGGTCCAAATGTTACTCAAGTCGCCAAAATTTTAGCATTTAGTAGACCCAATTTTGTCATAAATCAAAAGTTAGTGATTGCCATAACGATAATAATGGAATTATTAGCTGACACACAGTTGACTAATGCGGATAATATATTTAAAAAAAAATGTCTGAATCACTACAACGACAAAAAATAATATTAAACCATTTCCCAGACGACGAAATAGAATTCTTTGCAACAGACGAACTTGTCACAGTAGAGCCTCTCGAGATTATCGAAGGGTTTGATTTGCTTAACGTAGGGGAAAAATGATTGTTTAAATTACGCGTCATTCTTGTGTGATTATATAAAAAATACGCGTTTTTCCCATTAGTAGAATTAATTATAATTGATTGACATATATACTATACAGAAGAGAAGTTATGGTCCATTTCGACCGGGCAAACGCGACCAAGTACCGCTTTGGGTCGCGTTAAAGTGGTTTCAACGTCGAAAAGTCAAAAAGATTATTGTACCTACATGGATGTCACCTGGTTAGTTAGTTAGATAGTATTTATTCTGTTCTATTATTGATGAAGTTCTACTTTTTCAGAAAATCTGGAACTTGCTCTCCTTGACGAACGAACAGAACCAGAAAAATTCACCAGTCGATTGCCTTTGCATTGGCATCAAGTGTATAAGTTACTCCGGGAAAGGTGATAATAAAAATAAAAATTATTAATTTATAATTGTTAATTGATTTTTTTAATTATTAATTAAAGTGAAGTGAAATTACACGATGATGAAAAGACAGAAGAGAAAATTAAAACCCTTGTCTCGGAAATACTAGCTAATCGTAAAGAGAAAATGAAGGCTGAGGTTGTATCATTGAAACCGGGACATATGGTATTATTAGATTTTTTATTAGTTTTTAGCGTGGTTTCTTTGCTTATCTAATCTTTTTCTCTAGATATCTAATATCGGGCTCACAGAAATAAATATCTTTCGGGAAGCATTTGCTCATGTGTATAAAGTCTTTGATGCAAGAATTGAGTAATTTTAAATATCTGTGTGAATTATGACTTGAGATATTCATTGGTAAAATTAGCTCATTATAAATTCTTATTTATTTATTTATCAATTATATATATGATAAACCATTTAGTCAAATAATTACTGTTATTGAAGTAGAAATCAAATTTCTCAACTGCCTCCACAATTAAAATTTTTGCTGGGAATGTCACAGAGTAATTTGAATATGAACTCAACCCCCTCTATAATCACCAACCTTGGAATAGTGAAATTGGGTGATTATAGAGAGATGTGACTATAAAAAGTATAGTTAATATGAACAAACTTCTGAAGAATAACATTGAAAACTAATACAGGATACTGTTATTGTTGTAAATTATTGCAATTGGAGACCCACAGATATTGGAATGAAAATAAATATTATCCGATCATAGTCTTTGATTATTATAAATCCTCGTTACCGCCATTAATGATTCGGGCGAAATTAGTTTCGCCCCAATTTGATCTACAAAGTGTTTCCAAATTAGGGTTTCGGATAGTTTCTCTCAAAACACTACCACAGCGACCTTGTTGGTTATACTTTCATTTGTAAATACTCCATTAGTTACATTGAGTACAACGACGACTAAATTGATGTTGAATTCCTATTTGAAGGAAAGAAAAAATGACGAAAGAACTATACATCTTCTAGGCAAACATAACCCCTTTTTATGCTCTTTCTCCATCCCCCTTCCAAAAGACTTTCTCATATGGTTATACATCCCCCACTCCGCCGAACTAACTGTCATATATTTTCCGTAGTTCCGGGATCAGTCGGAACCGTGGGCAATGCGGACAATTCAACGATAGCTGAAATGGTCGTCAGAAGATTTGATTAAATTGGAAAACTGCAATTTTACCTTCCGTAGCGTTGGATGTCATCTGGAGAAAATAAGAAAAAGTTTTTTATTTTGTAGAATTAAAAGTGGGTTATACCATCAATTGTACAGGTTTATCATACGACTAAGAACCAAAAAATTTTGTATCGCCGAATATTTTGTTGATCACCACATATCAATAAATGTATAATTATTTATTATTAAATTGTTCTAGAGTCAAGAATATTTTCGCAGACATTGTTATATAACTAGCGATTATATCTTTCTAAGTTTAACTAATTAAAAGATTCCATCAAATATTACTAATTCATCTTCTAAAAGAAAAGGCGTTAGCAAGGTCTCTTCTAGATTTATGAAATTCTTTAAATGCTCGCATAACATCATGTCCTAGAATTTCCTTATTCGCGGCAGATCCTTGATTTTCCACAAACTCCTTGAATTTGTTAACATGGTAACTTTCGACATGTGGTAAAGATTGAGACCAGTTATATTTGCCGGATTTTAATAGATCTATTGGATCTACTGTTCGTGCATAAGAATTAAAATAAGTTTTTACACTTTCGTAAGATAGACGCTCTCTTGGTTGCGAAGTTGAAGAATTTTCTGCCGAGATTTCATTTGGTTTTCGAGTTATAGTTTGCGATGGTTTGGTTGCTGTTTTGATTTTCGAAGATGGAGCTTTAATTGATGATGAGGATGGTGTTGTTGAAGAGGTAGGTGAATTTAGAGGCTGGTTGGCGGAGTTGGTGTTTTCAGAAGTAGTGGAGCTTTTTTCAATTTCAATTAGAATTTTAGTTGGATCGATGACCTCAATTCGACCGGAATTATTAGAATTAGAAAGAGCGGGGAAATTTTGTTTTGGATTCGGCGGTTGTTTATTATTCATGATGTCGTTTGCAACGGATATATTATTATTTTTCAAATCGAAATTTCGGTTGGTATTGGAGTGAAGATTTTGTTGTTGCCTATTTAGCGCAGTAATATTCCTAATGGTAGTAGTATTTTTTGTCGCTGCTGTTTCTTTGATAGGTACACGATATTTTATTAATGGTTCAGATAAAGAACGAGTAGTATTACTACTATCAGAATCGGATACAGTAGAACTAGACGAAGATCCAGTACTGTCATCCTCATCTTCATTATCATCCTTGTCTTCATTTCCTTCATCGTTCTCTTCGTCTTTGCTATTGTTTTCTTTGCTTTTTTCATCCGCATCATCAGAGAGTTCATCTAATAACATATCACTAGTTGATGAGGCTTCCCTATTTACATTGCTTCGATTGTTGGTTTCTTCCCTATGAGGAGTAGGATGGGAAAGTCTTTGATTGTTGGTTTCTTTCCTAGGGGGAGTAGGATGAGGAAGTCTTTGATTGTTGGTTTCTTTCCTAGGGGGAGTAAGATGAGGAAGTCTTTGATTGTTGGTTTCCTCCCTAGGTGGAGTAGGATGAGGAAGACCATCCAACGATTTGCTATTGTCGCTATTGTCTTGAGCAGGAGGTCGATCCTGTGTATTATTGTAATAAGTTGAATGGCGAGAGTTTATTTGTTTGGGATAATTTCTTTTGTTGATGGGATAATTCCTCTTAAGATAACGATAATCAGAACGAGGATAACCAAAACGATAATCAAGACGGTGATTATACGAATAACTTGGCCTATAGTGGCTTCCTCTCCTGTCTCGAGGTCTAATAATATCCTTAAAATTATTGTAGCTGCTGTTGTTTGAGGCAGGCAGAACCTCGGAATACCAGTATGAAGAGGTATTATTATGATGATGGTGATGATGAATATTAGTATTATTTGCAGTGTAGTTATTAATATTAGTATCAAGACTGCTGCTACTATTTTCTGTTCTTGTCAAATGTGAATTCCAATTTGAAAAAGTAGCAATACTATTGTAATTAAAGCTATTGCTAGCCCTTGGCAGTGTGGAATACGCGTAATTTGAATTATAAAAGGTAGAAGTTGAACCACCATTTTTTTTTCTTTCGCCAAGGAACACTACTTCCTCTTCCCCTTGCTTTTGTTCTTGTTCTTGCTTTGGCATTTGTTCTTGTTCTTGCTTTGGAATTTGTTCTTGTTCTTGCATTTGTTCTTGTTCTTGCATTTGTTCTTGTTCTTGCTTTTGCTTTTGTATTTGTTCTTGTTCTTGCTTTTGTTCTTGCTTTTTCATTTTCCTTTGCATGCGCTTTTGTATTTTATCTTGCTTTTTTGTTAGCTTTTTTGTTACCCCCATTTTCCCCGTAATTCATCGTATGAGGATCCAAAGAAATCTCGTGCAAAATATATGTCTCTAGATATCCGACATTAACAAAAGAAATTAAGATTTGTTAGTAAGCAACAAGCGTTTTTATCAAATCATGACCAAATTTCAAGTTTGGTTGAGCATTAGCTTTAGTATTAGAGGCCAAATTATATTTCGTGTAATACATAACTGACTCATAAGTTCTACAGATGAAGACAGCCAATTAAATCAAAAAACTGATAAATTTCCTACTTTCGCGAGATATTGGTTTTTAGCAATTTCGGGATTATCAATAATTATTTTGAAATTAAAAATGGTATATAATAGTAAGTACATGCAATAAAAAGGCTCTCTTATTCTTTTGCATTTTTGCTAACTATCTGTGGAATTCAAATGAAAAGAACGAGGTGGAAGTAATGATAGAGGCAATCGAGGGGGAGGAAGAGGAGCTATTCGTGGTGGAGGAAGTGGGTTCCGTGGCGGTCGTGGAGGTAGTTACATGATTTATTTTTTTATTGAAAAGTTGTGTGTTTAAAGTCAGAGAATTAAAGTTAAGCTTTTGTGATTCGTCAGGCGCTTTTACTCGTGGAGGTATTTTTCTTGTTGGTTTTAATTTCATAGTTGGTTATGTTTACTTGAGTGATTTTCATTAAAGGAATAACAAAACGTGGTGTTGGTGGACGCGGTACTGGTGGACGTGGTGCTGCTCGAGGAGGTCGGGGTGCTGCCCGTGGTGGCAAAAACATGGGAGCAAGAGGAGGATTAAAAGTCATTATTGAACCACACAGACATGAGGGTTTGTTATTTGATATTTAATAAGTATTAATTTGACAAAAACATATTATTTTTATATATATATATATACATATTCACACAAATTAACATAATTAAGGTGTATTTGTCGCGCGTGGTAAAGAGGATCTTTTAATCACAAAAAATTTGGTAGCTGGTGAAGCAGTTTATGGCGAAAAAAGAATCTCTGTCGAAGGCCAAGATGGTATAAAAGTCGAATACAGAGTATGGAACCCGTTCAGGTCAAAACTGGCAGCTGGTATCCTTGGTGGTATTGATCATATTCACATTGCACCTGGAAAGAAAGTTCTTTACCTCGGAGCTGCTTCAGGAACAACAGTGTCGCACGTAGCCGATATAGTTGGCTCAGTAAGTTCTCTATGATTATTAATTAATATTAATGGTTGAATGCTCAAAATAATATAATTAATCTTAATGGAATTTTCATATAGAAAGGAGTTGTTTACGCGGTTGAATTTTCACATCGGTCTGGTCGAGATCTGATCAACGTCGCAAAGAAACGGACAAACATAATTCCAATAATTGAAGACGCCCGATATCCTCAAAAATACCGAATGCTTGTTGATATGGTGGACGTGATCTTTGCCGACGTGGCTCAACCAGATCAAGCACGTATTATCTCACTGAATGCACATCACTTTCTTAAAAATAACGGGCATATCGTGATATCAATCAAAGCCAACTGTATTGATTCTACGGTCGATGCTGAGACCGTGTTTGCACGTGAAGTTAAGAAATTGCAAGAAGAGCATATCAAACCGCAGGAACAACTCACTTTGGAGCCGTATGAACGTGATCATGCGTTAGTTGTTGGGAAATATGTTAGAGTGAAATAAGTCATTTTTGTCCGATTATACTATCATGGTTGTAATGTCAAGATTGAAATTGCGCAGATGGACATTGTTAATTTCTAGAACTTGGATATTCAATAAAAAGATAATTATTATAATTAAGAAAATTTTTTAGTTTACTTTACTGCTTTTCAAGTCAAGTTTCCTATTGAAACTTTCTAATATAGAACAATAATAATTTTAAATAATCGTAAAATGTTCGAGTTAACCATTCTGTCTACTCGACGCTGGTTTTTTCCCGCCAATCCTAAACGGATGAGCTTCGGTATTTAACACCCATCGATCAAGTGGTAGTAAATCTTCGTTAAATAGTAAGTAGAGATATTTGAGTGTTTCTCCGTACCAGAAACTAAGGGTACACAATCAAATTAAACGAGTTAATTAATAACAATTAAATTAGATAAACAAATAAAAAATGTTATATTACCTCTCTGCAATATTATCCCAACCACCCTTCGAACTCGTCACATCCCTAATACCGGAAAATCCTATAGGCGTCTTACAGTACTTGTTTATTGCTCTGAAAACATTCCAACCCCAGTCCTAAGCAAAATGATTAAAATATATATATATTAGCAATCATTGAAAAGACATATAAAAAAATCTAATAACTCAAAGGTACCTGATATTTTTTATCTCCAGTTATTCGATATGCATAAAATATACTTTCAATAACCTCTAATACATACATATCATATATTTCAATATAAAAAAGGTTTGATTTAAATATTCGGAGTCAACAATAATCCACTCACCTGGTCTCAAATAATAATGACCATCAGTCACAAAGATCCCCGTGGATAAATAAGAATTCCTCTGTTTCCTATTCCATCGTCGACTTCGTGTTCCACTAGCATCGACATACGCAAATATCTCAGCACCAATCTTTGTGTCGGTGCTTTCGTAGGATTGGTAGCATGTGTAGGTTAAATTAAGTCCTAACTCAATTAAAGTATCATTTTTTAGAATGTGGCCCCCTAATAGAAAATTTCCGGGGGCAAAACATGCCTAGATTAAAATTTGATATTAATAATATGGAACAGCGGTATTCAATGATTTTAGAGATAGAAATAGTAATTACCAAATGCGACATCTCATAATACGGTTGTCCTTCCCACCACTGATTCAAATATGTCATATTTGAAAACCCATATCCTGTAGATATTAAATATTTTTGGGTCGAATCAATCGCAAGTAACCACATATCAAGATATTGATCAAGAGTTCCTTCAACCATAATGTAATGTTTTAATAAATACTAATTTCAAAAAAAAATTAAGTAATTAATTATTTGCAAATCATTTTTCTTCAACACATAGTATTTTTATGTTATTCCTTCGTTACCTCATAAAAGCTATCTCCTAATCCACCCCACGTAACCCATGCTAGTAAATATAAAAAGAGACAGATTATTTTTTTGCAAAAACAAAGAAAAACAGAATCCGCGTATTAGTAAATTAAAAACCTTACAAGTCGTGAATTTTCCATTTAATGGATCCATATATACCGGATACAAACCAGGCAACTCTGTAGATTTCGATTGCAAAATATCGATTACTCGTTGAGCCTATTCAAACAACAATACAGAAAGAATTTAAATATACAACATATAGACTATAAATGAAATAAAGAAATGCGCATTCAATATGTTACGCATATACAATTAATAATAGTACTACTATGTATGAAGTAAGGTATGTAAATATCATTGAAATTCGAGTACTTTATCTAAAAATATAGGATTCCCGCTTAATTCACTTAATCGTCGAAACTCGAGTTGCACCGAGCCAAACTCAGCCAAGGCAGATGCGCTACCGGGAAATCGACTATGAACTCCAGTTTTTTTCTTTAGATTGACATATTGCAATGGGATACCGGTTGGCGTGTCAAAAGCTGGTAATAGCTGAACTGCTAGTTCAATTGCTTTGTCGAGATATAAGTTGTCGCTTGTAAGATCATATGCGGATAGTAGTCCACCTATAAAGAATAAATAAACAAAATAAATTTAGTTAAAGAAATGGGTAAAAAGACCAAAGATAATGCTAACCTATATATCGAATTGTCGTTTCAAATACGTTTACTAGATCATATGTTTTTTTGAAATCAATCCGCGAAACCAGTTCCCGAGATAATTTATATTCCTCTAATAAAACAACATGAATCATTAATATCGAACTCTATTACACGCATACATTGACAAATCAAAGTCATGACAGTACTCGTAAGGTTCATAAGTATCATTGTGTCTAGACTATCCACAATGGTAGCCGCCCACCCGTTACGCGTATTTCTAGGAGACCCTGTCACGGGACGAACTTCATCATGCCCCCAGGCATACTGTTTATATCCATTAAATGAGTGCACGAAAGCTTCTTTTACATATTCGCCGCGTTTTTGCGTTGCAGCATTTATGGGAAGTTCTGGCGGATACCAATCTGGAAATGGGTTGTGATAATTTTCAAACCAAAACTGAATGCTTAGAAAGGTAAACAGGAAAAATGCAAGAAAGGATAATGTATAGAAAATCAACCGAGTTTTTCGCATTTTTGGTGGTAGTGTGAGAAGACTGGAAATTGAACTCGATATGATGATGCAACTCTGTTTTAACATGTGATCTGATACAAATCTTAACGAGTGGAAATTTACGCGTTTTTGTGCCCGCGTTTTCTTGTTCTTGAAATTTGAATTACCAAAATCACTCGTCCCAGAAATATATCTATTTGTATATTATCATATTACTATTAATAATATCTCACGAAAAAACATGGAAGTGGCTTCATTGAAAGATAGACCAGACTTGACTTTTGGTATGTATGAATGTATTAATATTAATGATGATAAAATGTTCTTGGCAGCATTTTAATTTTTAAGTTAAAGATAAAAGACATGAATTGTATAAATTAAGTAAAGTAGTTGGACGTGAACATGTAATGTTAAATGTAATGTCAATAAAGAGAGGTTTTGCGATTGACATACAGAACTTTGCATGTCTATTGAGTGGAAAGAATATTAAAGAGAAAATATTCTTAATACTGATATTTAAATTCCTTGAATGTCGCTAGATAGTCAACTACGTGAAGAACAATTCTGTTTCTTCTTTAAAAAATTACCACAAGTAAGTGAAAAATAGAATTATATAGTATGATATGAGACATTGATTTGTGTTTTACCTCATTTTAATTCGGTTCTTGTGAAAAATTTCAGAAATCCGAAAATACTATTAGATTATTTGAAAGTAGTTCAGGAGTGAGTAGTACCAGTACCCCTTTTAAATTTCCCAAATACATTATCTAAAGAGATATTTTTTTCAGGATTATTACAGCGTTCACGGAGAAGACGCTCTTTACATTGCACAAAATGTCTATAAGACGTCGTCTGTGATTAAATATTTTGGCGGTAAATCAATTTCAAAATTCAATTCTTTCTATGAATAATCATATAATCATATTATATATAAACAGGGAACGTAAAAAAGGGAATTCCCAGTTGCACGTTATCTCGTCTAGCAGCCGAATCTTTCTTGCGTAATGCGTTGTTGAATGAACAAATGAAAGTGGAAATCTGGCGTGGCGAACCTAGAAAAAATGTTTGGAGAATAATTAAACAGGTAAATTCGTAACTATAGATAAGTAAATAAACACTTAGATTACTCGATTGGGTGACTATTAATGAATTATGATAATAGGCATCACCGGGAAATCTACAAGAATTCGAAGACCTACTATTCAACAACGTAGAAATCTCCACATCTCCAATTGTATTAGGCGTGAAATTAGGCACGAAGGGTGGACAAAAGATTGTTGGTGTCGCGTTTGCCGACGCGTCTATTCGTGAATTGGGAGTTTCTGAGTTTATGGATAATGAGTTGTATTCTAACTTTGAGGTAATTTTGATTAAACCCAATGAATTAAAAATTCATAACAATGTTATAAAATTAAATTAAATTAAATTTTGTGGATCGATTGATTAGTCAATGATTATTCAACTTGGAGTTAAAGAATGCATCATTCCAGCTTCTGAAACAGATTATGAATTGAGCAAGATTAAAGGCGTGTTGGATAAATGCGGCGTTGTTATTACTGAGCAGAAAAAAGGTAATGTGTTTCTTATTTTTAATAATGAAAAGTAAGTTATTATTTTTTGACAATAAGATGAGTGTAATAATTTTATTTGATTGTTTCATCAAATTAGGTGATTTTTCGAATAAAGATATTGAACAGGACTTGAATCGATTATTGGCTAATGGAAGATCAGTCACCACTTTACGTATGTTATAGGAAATTGACCTTTTTGTACTTTAATTGGATTGTTTAACGAGAATATGTATTGTTTGTGTTTAATATTACTTATTTATTAATCAGCTGAATTCGAGTTGAAAAATGCTCTGGGTGCATGCGCTGCCATAATCAAATATTTGTCGGTACGTGATTTTAATTTTAGTCGATCAATTATTTTGCTAGACATGATTTATTAACTTTAATATTTTTCAAAATTGATAGTTATTGACGGATGAAAGTAATTTTGGTCACTACATTTTACGACATCATGATTTGTCACAGTATATGAAACTGGATGTGTCTGCTGTTCGAGCGTTGAATTTGATGCCAGGTCCACAAGATGGTATATGTTTAATATTACTATTTTTAGTCTTAATTGTTGTTAATTTCTCGTATTTTTTTATAAAGATAATAAATTGAGTAACAAATATTTTATTCGCAGGATCAAACAAGACAATGAGCTTATTTGGCCTATTGAATAAATGTAAGACTGCTCAAGGTGTGCGATTGATGTGTCAGTGGCTTAAACAGCCGTTAATGGATATCAAAGAAATTGGTCAGTATTTTATTATTTACTTAAGGATACAATATTTGAATTTCTTTTTCAATTTTTTTCTTCTATCAAAATTTTTTAGAACAAAGACAAACATTGGTCGAAACTTTTCTTGAGGATATGGAATTACGGCAGTCGTTAAGGGTAAGTTAATCTTTGTGTATTCCTGGTTGAATTCTTTTTTCAACAATTGATTGATTTGTTAATTCTTACATTAAACTATTAGGAAGAGGCGATTAAAAGTATGCCTGATCTACATCGGCTGGCAAAGCGATTTCAAAGAGGTGTTGCCTCACTACAGGTATATTTTTTGTAGCATTATATATACAGTCAAAGCTCTATAACGAGATTTGGTTATTGCGAACTTCCCGACTATAATAAAAAAAGCATTTGTTTATAACGATTTTGATTTTGAGCTTGAGTCGATCCATCGTTATATAGAGCTTTGACCGTATATTTTCTTTTTAGTCTTCTTCGTTATATAAAAATACTAATACAAAACATCTTTTTTCCTTAGGATGTTGTTAGAGTATATCAAGTAATCATAAAGTTACCAGCTCTGATAAGTGTATTGGAAAACAACTGTTCGATAAATGATGAACATAAAGAACTTTTGGAATTGATATATATAGTGAAATTTAAGGTAAATAAAAATGATCACAAAAACGAAAATTTGATTATGTAAATGTCATTCTTCTGTAATCGAAAATCATTGTTTATTAGGAATTCATGGAGCAATTAGATAAAATGAAAAACATGGTAGAAACCACCATCGATTTAGAAGCCGTGGAAAATCATCATTATATTATTAAACCAGAATTTGATAGCGAACTTCAAGGTAATTTTTTTATTCTATAAATTATTAATCAATTAATGTTAAATATGATTTTTTGATAATAGAAATTCGTGATAAAATGGATCAAATCATGGATGAATTGAAAAAGGAACATTACAAGGTTTGATACTGTCGGATATTGAATTTTATATTGCATCAATTTTCATGTGTCTTCAATTACAATTATAATTCTGTAAATATAGATTGGCGATGATCTCAATTTAGACGTAGTAAAGAAATTACGCTTTGAGAAAACTACAGCATACGGATACTGTTTTCGGCTGACGCGTAATGTAAGTATATTTTATATGCTATGTTAATTTACTCGATATCGTACCGCCCCCCCTTTTTTTTTTTACTAAATTTCCAATATTTTCAATTATTTAAATACTAACTTCAGGATGCTGCGTGTGTACGACGCAACAAAAAACACATTGAACTTACGACTCAACGAACCGGTGTTTTCTTCACGACGACAAAAGTTAAAGAATTAAATCAGAATTTTTCAGAGTTTGCCGAAGAATATGAAAAGAAACAGAGTAGTTTAGTTAAGGAGGTTATTGAGATTGCAGGTTAATTATTATTATTTCTTTATCATGTTTCTTTAGAATGACAGTAAAAATTTTTGTTAACAGCGTTTGCAATCATAAATATAATGTTATTTCGAAAACAGCTACATATTGTCCAATCTTGGAAACTCTTAATGGATTATTGGCGCATCTTGATGTGTTGCTTAGGTGAGTTTGTAATTATTTTTCTTTTCTTTTGGTAAAGATATTGTTAAACTCAAAAAGTAATTTATTTTTTCGAAAGCTTTGCACATGTATCAATTAATGCACCGATACCGTACGTTCGTCCAAAAATAAGCGAAAAAGGTAATAAGCATTATTTTTATGTATTTTAAATTTTATTTATTAAAATTACTCTTTGTGGTTGTAGGTAGCGGACACGTGCTATTAAAAGGTGCAAGACATCCATGTTTAGAGGTTCAAGCCGATGTATCCTTTATTCCGAACGATGTAGAATTAATTCAAAGTAATTGAATTGCAAACGAATTATCAATTAAATAAAAAAATCTTGTTAACACTAATAAAATTATAATTTTTTTCAAAAACACAGATAAAAGTGAATTTCTGATAATTACTGGTCCAAATATGGGTGGCAAATCAACTTATATTCGTCAAGTAATAACATTAGCAGTTTAATTAATTTTTCAACTTTTTATTTATTAAAACTTTTTTAATGGGAATCTGATTCTTTAGATCGGTGTAATCGCATTAATGGCACAAGTTGGTTGTTTTGTGCCTTGCTCTGAAGCAGATATCTGTATTTTTGATTGTATTCTTGCGAGAGTCGGTGCGGGTGATAGTCAGCTTAAAGGAATTTCTACGTTTATGGCAGAAATGCTGGAAACTGCGACTATTTTAAAGGTTTTTATAGACTTCGTGGTTTTTTTCAATCAGGGATTAGCTTAACAACAATGATCCGTTTATCTAGACGGCGACCGCGTATTCCTTAATCATAATTGACGAACTTGGTCGTGGAACTAGCACATACGATGGTTTCGGCTTAGCTTGGTCAATTTCTGAGTTGAGAATCACATTCATATAAATAACATATTGCGTATATTAACTACATATGAGACTGTTTATTGATTATATAAATATATTTATTTTTACTGTAGATACATCGCAAAGCAAATCCGATGCTTCAGTCTATTTGCTACGCATTTTCACGAATTGACAGCCCTCGCCGATGAACTATCATACGTGCGTAATCTCCACGTAACAGCGGAAATTGGCACAAATTCCGAAGGAGGACGTGATATCACACTATTGTATCGAGTCATTGAAGGTATTCCCATTAATTCATACTAGCTGTTTGCTCTTGATTTATGTGTTAAATTTGTTATTAATGTATAGGTGTATGTGATGAGAGTTTTGGTATTCATGTTGCAGAGTTGGCGAATTTTCCCGAAACAGTTGTAAAGGTAGCAATCAAAAAAGCTTGTTTTTCATTTATGTAGTTATTGTTAATTTGTTTATGATACAAAATATAGTTGGCTAGATGGAAAGCAAATGAATTGGAAGACTTTTCGACGAGTAAGTTTTTTTAAAAACTCTTTCTCTTTACGTTATTTATAACAATACATATTATTCAATTAAACAGACCAAAATTGTATGGAGATTGACAACGAAAACGTTCTACCAAAACCGTTATCAACATCAAAGACTAAATCCACACAGACAGAAATCGAGGTAATATATTTGAATAAAAATATTACAAATTATTCTTGATTTTTAATTCTACAAAATAACTGTTGTTTTCATTTTTAGCACGGAAACGCAATAATCTCAAATTTCCTTCGTGAAGTCGCTGATTCCGTAGACATTAATAATATCATCACCAATAGCCATCCTATGAAATACGATACAATGTTAGAGAAATTACGAGGAATCTCGGAAAAGTATAGTGGTCAGGTCGAGACCAGTCCTTGGTGTCGGGAAGTGATTGCGGAATTTTAGTGTTTATTGTGAAAGACTAATTTTAAATATAGTATTCATGTATTATATAATCTTTATATTTTCCATTACATTAATATATTTCTAAAAATTTGCATGTTCATATATTGAATTCAGAAAATGCTTGTTCAAAAATTTAAAATTTATTGGATATTTAATTCTTGAAAGAATTCATTAATGGTTATTACACCAGAAAAATTGTATTTATCAATATAAAATCATTATTTAAATGGAATTTGTATTAACAAATATTATTAATAAAAATAATTATTTAATTAGTTACTTAGTAAATTAAAAAGCTATTTTTTTGATGTAATAAATTCTAGCAGAACCAAATCTAGAAAACTTATTTTAGAACTGTATCTTCTATTATATTATTTTTTTAATTATTTTTATATATAGTGATTAACAAAATTATTATTTTTTATTTTTATATTAAAACAAAAATCATAAATTATATTAAAAATTTTTATAATTAATTTTATATTTTAATTAGAAAAAATTTTTGCAATAACTTTGCAATTAAAACAATTTTATCAGAAAAAAATCCAGAAAAATAAAATATAATTTATAATCTTTGTTTTAATATAAAAATAAAAAATATATTTTAATAAAATTAAAAACTTTTATATAAAATAAAAATTTATATTTTATTAATAAAATTATACATATGATTTTATAATTCTATTAGTCATTGTATATTGAATTCAAAGTTAAAAAATACAATTATATATTCAAAAACAAATTATTTTCTCTTTTATAAGCTTAATTTTCTAATTAAATATATTATGGACATCAGGAAATTTTTATAATCGATTATTATCCAATAATTAATTATCATCGATTGTTAATAATCGATTATAATCGATTGCAATCAGATATAATCGATGATTATTAAAATCAAATATAATCAATTTTTTGTTTAGAATCGGTGAATATTTATAATCAATAATCATTAATTTTAAATAATCGATTATAATCGCTACAGATCGATAGACAATGGGTAATCATTTACAATCAATAATTGATTCTTATTGATAATTAATAATTAATGATAAATGATTATTTATTATAATCGATTACCCATTGTCTATCAATCTGCAGCGATTACAATCGATTGTAAATAATTACTCTGCCAATTAATTCATCTTTCACAAGTACATGTACAATATTAAGAAGCTTTCAAAATTTAATTCTTGATATCAATTCAATAAATATTTCAAGCAATATTTTATATTATAAA